AAGAAGACAAAAGCTGCATTTCAGAAGTGAGCTGTTTAAAGATGTCAGTTATGTAAGGGGAGATTGCTCGATGAGCAGATACGAGGAAGATGATCCGTGAGTACAACATGGAACGGGGAGCATGGTAACATACTTTGACTGTAGTACCCATAGCACCTGTGACTGGCATATTGTGTAGATTCAGATTTGTGTTTCAGGGGAATTTACCAGTGGTTCCAGGTATCAGAGTGGTCTTACAGAACCTTCCACTTCTTCTTAGGCAGCTCCTATACTGTGGCCAAAAGCTATTACCAACTGGTTACTGCTAAGTGGGAGAAAGTGCAGTGGGTTCCCAATGGGCAACCATGCACATGACATGAACTGCTGGCACAGTTCTTTCTCTATAAATAGAAAAGAAGATGAAAATCATACCTGAACAGAAAGTCAGTAAGACAGTAGGAAGAAGACAAGAACAGCAAAATAATACAACTCAAAAGCCAAAGGAAACAAAATGACTTAAAAAGAAAAATACATGAGAAATTCTAAGCAGATGTGATGCGCTGTAGCAGGGAAATTCCACATTGATTATTCTAAAATGTCTAGGCTGCGCTATCCCTCGTATGAATCTGCCACTAGGATAACGAACTGGAAATACGGTTTGGTCTGTCAAGAATTATTAAAGACATATTAACATATCAATTAATTGGGTAAAAGTGAAGGAACAATGAAATGAAGCTTTTAGGTAGTCAAATGGATACATATTTGGGCTTCTTATGGTAGCTGCGTGAGGTCACCAACCAGAGACTAACAGAATCTCTTTCGAGATTAATTTCTACTGCAGTGCAATTGCCCAGCATCAGATGAAGATCAGTGACAAAATTTTGAGGACCACTGTAGCTGTGATGCAAAGAAATGTGAACCAGCCATTGCCATGCAGACAACAGTGGGAAAGAATTGTTAAAGGATGCAAAAACTAGTTGATGGAAATATAGCCATCTGTATTCATTACTATATATTTCTTATATCATCTATTTTGGTTAGACTCAAAATGAAAAAAATATTTATAATGCCACTTCAGGCATATGTGAAGGATCAACTGGGTGAATTTCAACAAAATGAAATGTTAAACTTAGCATCAGGAGAAACATTTCAGCTGAGAGAACCACTGCGCTGGAAAAATCGCCGCAAGTGACTGGTGACAGACTATTGCCTGAGTAACTCAAAAGTAACGAAAATGAAATCCAGTGGGCATTGGCAAAGGTTTGGTCTACATAACCTAATAATAGATATTGTCTGCTCTATTTTTGGTGATTCAAAGCCAGTAGTAGTTTCCAAATTCATTAGTGAAAATGGGCTAACGTCATCGCTTGTGCTACTGCATTTAGATCTGCATCGGCCTTGCATAATTTTGGGGTTTACTGCATGAACAGGAGTAAAATAATTATGCAAAAGGTGTTCGATGCAACTGAAAATACTAGGGACTTAGTTATGGGTATATGGAATACAATCTGAACATGATTGTGTTCCAGGAATTTTAGCATGTTTTTATTTGTAAAATATCTCAGTAGTGAAGAATAAACCTTTTAAAGTTCGGTAGAATTTTTTCACAGAATTAAATGCAGAGTATAAACAATATTTTTAAACTTCTAGAATTGAGCAAAGGCTGCTGACTTTGCTACAGAGTTTCAGTTTTAGTAATTCTGTAGAACTAGACTGAAGTTTTGGTAAAAAGAACAAATGAGCTGTATTTCCAAAAGAGAACACACGTTTGGAAATTATGCGCTTCATTGTCGTGCCGCTTTCCCGTAAGAACTCAGAAGAATTGGTATCTCATGCACGTTTGCTCTTCCTCCTTGATCATCAGGAAAATGCATTCCTCACTTCCTCACTACTTTTCCCAGCTGCAACTGTCTTCTATATCAGAAATGTCTTCCAATGCCATCACTATCCTTTACCAGCCTTCAGGTGCTGAGCATCCCTCCTTCAGCATTAAAACACAACTGGGAAATTCCTGTGGAGCGGTTCCCTGGCAGGAGCTACTCCTGAGTCTACAGCCTTTTGCCTCTGTGTCGCAGGAGACGTATTTGGTCAGAGCTCTGGCGAAAACCTGAAAATTCACAGTAAGATAGTTCTGTAAATCTCTGTTGGCCTAAGCAGCTTAGAAGTTGTTTGTTGGGCGTTATTCCATTAGTTCAGGATGCAAATCTTAATAAGCTGGAAGATAAGGGGGAATTTTTGACAGTGGATTTTATTCAGGAAAGTCTTCCAGAGAAGTCTACATTGGTAACTAGAGATATCTTTAATATTTTATAAATCTTTATGTAGGTGGTAGTCAAGAAATTGAAGATGGATATTTTTGAATAGGACTTACCCTGTTTGAAAGGTCCAGAGCTATTCAGAAAATACAAAAACCACCCTGAACCATATTTAGTACAGCAAGCGACGTTGCCAGGTACCAGTGTCCTCCCAAATGGGAAGTCTTCTGGAATCCCTTGTTGCTATGAGACTAAATATTTCCGCACAGTGTGAGCGCTGAACCAGATTTTGCTCCCACTTCCACTAGTGTGCATGTAGTGACTCCCCTGCGGCTGGGAATCACAGTGCTGCATTCGGACGTCTTGCTGATGAAAGGGTCTGACCCAAAGCCCAGGGAAGCCCAGGAGTATTTGTCTGATTCAGAAGCTCGAAGAAGTAAGACTACTTTAAAATGGGAGAAGGGCTATCATCTTGCACCTCGAAAGGAGCAAGCAGTCTGGGGATTTTGACCTACTGACAGTGGATCTTCACATGCTTTTAGTCAAAAAGGAAGGTAATGTGTAAAATTTGTCATAGGGCTTCTCTCCGAACTCAGCATGTTCAAACTGAAAGATACATATTGCTTCTCCTGGACTGCATAAACTCTTCAGTTTGAGACACCTTTAGAATCCACTTTTCTGTGTACTTAAAAGATGCTGTGTCGGGGGGGGGGGGGGGGGGGGGGTGGTGTTGTGTGTGTGTTTGCGTAAGTATAAAATGTGTGAATTTTCTTTAGCTACTAGACGCTTTTTTCTTTCACCCAGAGACAAATAAACAAAGAAAACCCAACTCGAGCTGCGCCCATGCATGGCCAATATCTCACCAAAGTGTACATTTCAGAATGAAAGATTTACAGTGGTGTGCCTGTAGTGTAGCTATGACATTACTTTAACATTGCATTGCTATAATCTTCAAATATAGTAAATGCAACAAATGGGGTTTTAGGGATTTGTGTGAAGTTTAAAATTCAAAAGATAGTTGTTTTTAATGTTTCTCTGCGCTATCAGTAAAAAACCAAAAATCACAGGGATGAATTTAACACACATCATCAACAACAAAGAAGATGTTTGCCCAGCGAAAATATTGATCTTTTATTAATCTGTCCTTCCAAGCATCTGGAAACCCTCCCGCTTTTCTAAATTAAGGAAATATTTAAATACTAAGTATTACAGAAAAATAACATAAACGCATACATGTAACCAAAGAGCTATGAAAACAAAGCTCTCGGCGTGCAAGTATTCCCTTATTGGGTTTATATCCTCAGAACTGTTGATGCGCCTTCACGCCTGTCCCAGACAGACCTGGCTGACGCGTCGCCACCGGTGCGTTACTGTGGCTGCCAG